GATTTCCGAGAGATATCTCTTAGCGGAACAATTGTCTTCTTTGGATCCGTAATTGATTTTAGGATGCCCCGTTTCGGTAATCTGCAACTTCGAATCTGCTACCAAACACATAAATGGATCAACCTGCATAGAAAAAGATAGTTTATAACAAGTTAATTAGAATAAAAATAAATAAATAAATAAATAAATAAAATAACGCGAGATGACGAAATCGACCATTTTATTGGAGAGTGTAGCTTTGACTAGTGGGACGAGTGGAAGAATGTTGTAAGCCTTCGACGAAAAGATAATCATACAAGTTGACAGTATAAAGAGTGATCTTTTTCTTGATGGTGGAAGCTTCCCTGCGAATAATGATGTCATAAATGTTATATATACAATTAAAAAATATAAAATCGATATTTGGAAATTAGGCTAATAATTTTACCTCCAGCAGCGAGAGAAACACTCCTTAACGAAAATGCCAGCTGGAAACTTCGAATAAGAGCATCACGGTACGAGTTCTGTGCCATAACAAGAAACAAATTTAAACAGTTCGAACTCATAGAGTCATAAAATTTAGGAGAAATTACACCTACACCCCCTGAGGTATGTTAAAATAACTTTAAGATCCCTATAGTATCGGTAATTACAATCACCCCCTCAGACATTGTTAGAAACCCTAACGGAATAATGCATTGGATAAGTTATTCCGTTAGGGTTCGGACTATTAGTTTCAGGCAGTGGTGGAGAGAGGGTGACACGGCTCGGCTCTGCTAACATTTCTTGAATCCTTATTATTTTATATACATAATTATAAATTTTCATCTATCGTAGCATAAACGGCCACGCGGGAAACAAATACAGTGCATATCAGTGCCCAGGACATGAAATCTTGGCTCCGGTAATTGTTTCATGGTGTGGCTGTGATTACCAATACCACAGGGACCTTAAAGTTATTTTAGCATACCTCAAGGGTGTAGGTGTAATTTACCCTATAAATTAATTAAAAAAAAGACAAAAAAAAACAATTGATTTTTTTTTTCTTTAAATTACTAAATATGAAATTACCTTGGCTCGAGAAAAGAGCAAAACCAAGCTGTAAGTGTGAGCAATGGCAACGTAATTTTCAGGCATGTTAGCCGGAGAAATGGATTGAGCCCAAATAGACGAAAACAAAAAGGTTATTTGGTGGCTGCTCAATCTAAGAGGCACAGCATTCTGAAAAATTCAAAATGAAAATATATAAATATATAATAATTAAATTAAATAAAAAAAATTGAAGCAACATTGAAATTATTTCGATAAAGTACCGCTTCTTTATTCGATTTGGCCAAAGAATCAGCAGCAGCATCTGGTGCAGGCGAATTTCTGATGCTGTACGCTCGGCTGTAAGTTGACTTAATTCTGTTCATTACTCCACTCGTATTATTATTGTTATTATTATTTTCGTCCGAAGCTTTTTGTTTGTTCAGCTCAACGAGATTATTCCTTTGATTTCTGAGCTTTTCGAATAGGGCGGCCGATGATGAGAATACGGAAACTGTACGCGAGAGCGTTCTTGGGAAATCTATCTTCTTTTTTGAGTCGTCGGAAAAAGACGAATCTGATTGTGGCGAAACGGAAGTTGGCACGAGTACGACTGAGAAAATTTGATGAGCTCCTATTCGTGTTTCGTAATCTGGATGGAGCATTGCTGGAAGTAACTGATGGAATAATGCCTCCGGAAATGCCTAATCATCGAAAAAAAAGTTGCATGAGAGTGTGTGTGAGAGAGAGAGAGAGAGAGAGAGAGATTCACCTTCTTTCGATACGATAAATTCGGCAAAGAGGCAATAATTTGAGCAGTGCGATAAACAGTCGAAACAGTCGTTCTAGCTATAACAGTGACGCTCGGAATATTCTCCAACATAGAAGCCATAACATCGAGAATCAAACCAGCATCTCCAACCTATTACATCAAAAAAAAAAATCAATAAAAGCACGACGCAAGAACGAAAAAAACAACATAGTGTAATAACAACAAGAAAAACAACAAACCTTCGACGAAAGCTCAACCAGACACTCATCGACCGCCTCACGGAATTTTTTATTCCACTTAATCAAATCCTGTCCAAGATTCGCATCGTCGAGCGAAGAGTGGATGCTCTTACGCAAATGCCGCATGACATCACTCACGGCACCCACAACAGCCACCGATGACTGTACGTTTGTCAGCCGAGCAAGTGCAGTCGCCACCTGGACAATGTCGAGCTGCATTTCCGGTTGCTTAAGTACGTTTTTATGATCTAGATGCTTCACTAATATCGACAGCAACAAGTGCGTATTCTCCCCTGCACGGAAAAAAAAAAAAAAGTCCTAAGTCCAATAATTCATTGCAAGAATCATAAACGAAACAAAAAAAAAAGGAATAAAAAAAAAATAACCGGAATCATCCATCAAAAGCTGAATGTCTTTTAACACAGGAAAAGCAATCCCATCTTTGATCGGCCACAAATTCCCATTATCGAAATATCGAAACAAAGATTCTAGAACACGGCGCATTGTCGTAGCTTCTCTTCCGAGCTTGGCCATGTTATGAAGGCATACCCTAGACCAAAAGCACGGGTTCTTCGAGTCCTCGCTGTAAATTCAAAAAATAAAAATTAAATACTTATATTACTAAAGAACGAATATCGAATACTCGAGTAAAGAAAGAGAAAATCGAGGCCATGAAAATTTACTCTGCCACATTGAGTTGTCCTTTATCGTTTACAATCATTTTCCAAGAAGGAACTTTCAATGCAACATCCGGTGAAGGAGAGATATGCCCTTCGGTTTTATGTACTTCTTGCACCCAACGACTTTGCGTGGGCCCGTCGGATTCTTTACTCTGACCACAGTAATTTTCCAACACTACTGAAACAATCTGATGAATCGGAAATAATAAATAATTAGTAAATACATAATAAATATTTCCAAATATATATATATATATATATATATATATATATATATATATATATATATATATATATATATATATATATATATATA